AAGAAAACCTAGCGAAAACAACAGCAACAATGCAACTACCTTCGGTTGTGACCTCAGAAAGGAAGGGTTTGTTTTCTCAGAAAGGAATGGTTTGTTTTCTTCATCTTGATCAGTCCTGCCTAAGACGGCCACCTGTCTTATACGGCCACTTTTCTCCTTGACAATGGATGGCCGTCTTACACAGGTTCGACTGTATATGGAGGATTCATTTCCAATTCTATTGTATTATTGTATCAAACTCTTTATAGCAATGTAGGCCATTGTTTGTTTTGGAGTGTGTGTGTTTTTTTTCTTTCTGACTTGTGCTGGCCTTTTTACATGGGGGCCGTTGCAGGTTCTTTTTTTGGGGTAGGGTTAGGTCTTTTTAAAATTTTGTTTGTTGGTTGGTCGCTCGTTACTCGGAAGTCCTTCCTTTTATGACACCCACAATTTAAAAGCTCTTATAAGTTGGGGGGGGGGGGGGAATTGCGCCAAATTTTCAGACAATCTGGTTGAGGGTCACATGCAGGTCTAATGAGGAGCTCGAAAGGATAGATCTTGTCAGGAAACAAGACTTCCATTTTTCTATACAAAACTTTCAAATGAGCTTGATTTTGTATGAAATGATACTACCTGATAAAAAAGAAGCTTGTTTGATAATTTTGAATATCATTGTGCTGGTACAAAGAACAATTTGAGTGCAAAACGTTCGGAAATTGACCGTGATATTTTATCCCCTTTCGAACGAACCCTGGGTCATTCATAACAACAAGAGTGTCTAAAAAGGTTATTCGAATGAGCGTAACTACTTGTAAATTAATGTCTTTTATCAGCTTGTGAGAGGGGGTTATTCATGTGTTTTTAACACTTTATAAATAGAAAGCTATGAAAGATAGAGCGTTCTTTTCATCATCGATTAACACACTCCCACGGTATTCATGGCGAAAACACACGTTACCCGGCATGCGTGCTGTACACCAACAGTACACACTGAGTGACCCCGGCGGCCTGACCGGAACGTCCGACGTAATCGGTTGCTGATATGATTCAATTCGCATCTCAGCTCAGACACAGGACAAGAGTTAATACAAAAAAACACACAGCGAGGTCTAGGTTCTAGTCAACTGGACTGGCGAGGGAAACCCAAGAGTCTTGGGGGAATCTTCGTAAGAAGACAAAAATAGATGGCGGAAATACGTCATCTGTATTTGGGCCAATCACAGAGGTGTGCTAGGTGCTCGCTGTAGCTTCAAGTAATTTAAAATAACGAAGTATCTATTTCTCAGAACGCTCAGGAAAATAAACTTGATCTCTATTTCTCCGAACGGTTTCCGTTCTCAAGATTTTTGGGTTATTTGCTAGAGTTCGGCATCATCTTTAATTCTGCCACTCTGCATGGACTGGGAAGAGGCATTTTTTGCATCGGATTCAATTTCTAGAGCTAGCTCTAGAGATTTTTAGATGTCTGAATATTCAGATACTTCAATTGTGGTTGGGGCAACGTACCCGGACTATACTTCATTTGAAAACGCCTTCAAAAGTTACCTCGAGAAAACAAGACTGTTCGACTTTAGCAGTAACCTATTTTGCATTTAGTCATCCCTAAAACAAAAACTACAACAAAAAAAATTCATCCATGCCCCCACGCCCTCCCCCCCTCACCCCCCCATTCACACCTTATACACACACACTCACACACACACACATGCGCAGGCGCTGACCACTCCATTCGCAAATAGGCTAACAAAAAAAATCTTGAGAACGGAAACCGTTAGGGGAAATAGAGTTCAAGTTTATTTTCCCGAGCGTTCGGAGAAATAGAACCGGCCTTAAAATAAAGTAAAGAAGAGACCTAATAGCAATGCCAGTCGCCCGCTGCGCCTTGGGCTGGAAATCGGCCTCCGCGCGAGGGGTAATTTTTGGGCCGCTCGGGATCAGAAGCGACTCTTGCAAGGTACAGAAAGTAGTGTTCCCATGGGGTGGCTGGTTATGCTGACGGCGCTCTACATTGACTAACTACCCAAATCCCGTAGATGTCAACAAAACAAATCTGGAAGATTGCGATAAACTAGGTAGCGTAAACACGGCCTCGTGGGCACTCGCGGCCTTCCGACCGCGTGGTATCGGTGAAATCGGGGTAATTCCGATCGCTGTTTCTTTGCTCTTTCGCTATAAAACACCAAATGCCGTACACCTTGTAAAAGTTCAGCTTTTCTTCGTTACAGTGGTGTAAGTTGTTTATATGTCCGATTATTAGGAGCTGGAGAATCGCCGACGAAAGCGAAGCCCCTCGCGATCGGAATATGTGGTCGGCCGGTTAAAAAATTGACACGCGTGCATTCAAATGCTTCGCGGAACGAGCGATGATTAAATACTGTCTTTTCATTGGTGGAGAACTGTAGCCCTTTAATTGGGCTTTCCCGTGGTATATATTTGGCCGTTGTCGTTTCAATAGAAAGCTTTTAAAAATGCTGTCAAAATGTTTAAAGATCACTTATTACCCAAAATATGTAAAATACCGGCTTTAAAAAGGTATGAATAAAAAGATCAGTTTATTTCCTAGTAGAATAAAGTAATCAGCTTGCAATTATTTTACATCAATCCTTCCGCGAGACTCAGAAAGCATGTGACCACGCACGCGGGGTACACTACAGTATAAGCCGACTCGCTCGCCGCGGGGGCCGGTGCGGCGCCGGCCGGGTCAACACTCGATGTTTTTGTCGAAATAACAACAGATCATCGTGTTTGAAGTGATAAAATACATATTTGTAATGATATCACAGTCTTGAAAAAAATTAGGCTCCATATATTTGTTATAGTGATTGTACTCTGTTAATGTGGAGATGTTTAGTGCACTTGGTACTCTTTTATTGTCTGTCAAACATGGGGTTGCAGCCAGTGACTGACTTTAACAAATTTGATCAAATTTTAAACAACTACCATTTTCTTAAAAATTAACTGAGAGGTTAAAGAATGGTACCAAAATGCTCAGTGGATATAGGCCTTTCAAATGGAACAGATAAATTTGGCATACAGCTACTTCGAAAATTTAGTTTCTGGTACCTACATAAACTGAACACCTGTTAATAGTCCTAAAACTGTAGCCTAACCCTTGCCCAGGGGTGAAAGTTTTCCGGCTCCTGCCAGAATTTCCGGCTACTTGAACTCATCCATAGGCCACCTTCCGGCTACACTGGCCCGGCAAGTCTTCCATAGCCGGCGACGTGACAGGAATTTGATAAAAATCGCTGAGACCCGATAATTTGAGGAAATCTGTAAATTACCCCGCGAAGAAGTCGAGAAGACTCGGGGAACATATAAAAAGTTCTGGAATATTTGAAAACAAATCCCAATATGGTCAGTAAGTTAATTTTTGCTGATCGCGATTGTGATTCGTTTGGCTTTTCCCGGTCCGACAGTACGTGTTACTCGAACAGGCCGCTATGGCGGCATGCGGAAGCGTGTGACAGCGTGGCTCGATCGGGAATATCAGGATTACTTTCGCTTTCGTTACCACCCAGAACTTGGCCGGTGATAGACTGGTAATGCAACTTTTGTGACAAACAGGTCTGCCAGTACTATAAACGCTGTGTCGCCATGAAAATAAATCAAATTTTGTATCTGTGCCGTCACTTGTGAAAAAAGAAAGAAAAGCGTCGTCCGATTGTCAGCTTGTTGGGCTCCTCATGGTGACCGGTCATTGAACGTGCGCGCGTTCTCGTCGCATGATACGGAATCCTCTGACTGTGAGCATCGACGGTAGTTAGGGTCGCCAAAGTTCATTCAAAGTTTAGCGTTTAGAAGCATAGGACTCTGAAGGGGAAGGGGGGAATTTTTAAAAAAAAAAGATACCCTGGGTGGAGAGGGTGCGGAAGGCAACACCGGAGAACAACTAACTTGGAAGCACATTTTATATTAAATTATTTTGTTTGAGCTCTCTCCAAAGCGCGCTTTGGTGCCGGCCGTGTGTGGAATCGGGATCCGTCATATCTTGTAAGCCTTGTTATTGATGAACTAAAGTGTTTGCGTTTCATTGGATGGGTGATAGCAGCTTTCTGTTCAAGACTGGCAAATTTTCAGTGTCACTGTATCTTGACCTCTCTCAGTTCTTACAATTCTCGCACTGAATAGGTCTACTTAAGCCATTCAAGTTTTTACTCTACTTTGGGTTTGAGCAATAATTTTTGTCTTTCACGTTTATGATATGAATCATGATACCAAGACTGGTTCTTGACAGTCGAGGTTCTGGTTCTAGGCCCTTTCACTGGCTTAAAGCAGGATTCATTTGTATAATATAGTTTATATATTATATATAAAATGATGAGGGGAAAATATAAATTAAGGAAATATCTAACAAGTAAGAACAGACTGAAATACGTAAGTCACACAAGACTCCAGTTCCACACTGTAATTTTGTTTACTGGATACATACTATATAATGTTGGCTATGTACTTGTTTGTGTGTATTATATTTAAATAGAGCATGTGCTGTCACTGTTATGTAACATGCCCCTGGAAAATTGAGAAGCCTACCCCATCCTTCAGGCCGCGTGAATTTACCGTGAACTTTTCGGGCTATCCATTCTCTAACAACTAAATTTTCAGGCTAAACCATCTCTTGTCACTTTCACCCATGCCCTTGCCCTAACTACCAGTCTCTCTACTATTCTATCCTATTTATTTAGCAATGCCAATGGCCCGCTGCGCCTTGGGCCGGAAATCGGCCTCCGCGTGAGGGGTTATTTTGGGCTGCTTGGAATCAGAAGTGACTCTCTTCTAAGTATAGTTACGGGAAAACTCGTGGACGAAAATAAATGAAACTCGGCAACCATTCAGAGGAAAGGTTAAACTAACGACATGCCAGCGTCCAATCCCGAACGATTTCTAGAACCGGAGATATTGTCGTGTTTGTGCGAATTTTCTCTGCAGTTCGAAAACTAAGCGGAGCTGCGGGTTGATCGCCGACCACACAGGCGCCCCGCATGTCTTCTTTATTGCTGTAAAATTTCAGATCTCTGTGTGTAGTACATTTTACGCACCAACTTAAAATTACCACCCATCCATTGATAAAACGCTAGAGCTGGAAACTAGATCACGCATTCCAAACGCGAGGTGCCGGCATGTAAGAGGCGCGTGATCATTAGGCGGCATGTGATTGGCTGCCTATAACTAAATAGGGCAGCGATGACATCGCGGGTTTTCCCGATAGCACTTTACTGAGTTTTAGAAGGGGTGATCGCGTCGCGGTAAAAACGATGTCACGCAATTCAACAAATTTCACGCAAATATCAGTCTTTTAGATCCAAAGTAATTAAGACGTCGAAAAAGTGATAGCAGAACTAGATTCTGCACTAAAAATCACATGAAGATGCCAAGTTTCATTCATATTCTCCAATTCATCACTGACTTATGAACAGTTTTTCCTCAAAATTCATAAAGACATGTCCCACATTCTGGCGATATTTTCCTATATGAAGGCCCTCTAACATTTTGCTAACAAAAATCCCAATAACTTTTTAATTTATCAATGGATTTTTAAAATTTAAAAACCACAGTTCTTAGAATTTACTCTTATTTTCATTTAAGCCCATTTTTAAGCAATTTGGATGAACATTTAATTTTTCATTGTCATTGCTAATTTATTAAATTTCATAGTGGTCACTTGATACACTCAGAATTCCTCTCCCATAAAATATGATTAGACAAGATCTACAGTGCTTTTAGTTTTGGTAAATTTTCTAGAATTAAACAGTTACCATGTGGCCATGGTGTAGCAAAGACTGGGCAGGTCAAGGTTAATCCTTAACCCTGGTCCTCAAGGAGTGGGTTGATGTCCTTGATAAGCTTATTTCGGCTCCTTGCCTTTGTTCCGTTCCTGTGTCAGTCCGGCCTTGGCTCAGCGCATGCGCGCCGAGCATCATCCGTGTGATGACTGGGTCCCATATTCCGGCAGTTCTTGTGTGTGTACGTCAGTCTGCTTGAGTTTGTGTGCGTTTGTGGCCTACTTCTAGATCTGGAACTGCCTGCATTGGTTGGTAACCGAGGCAGAGGCCTATGTCTCATTCAAAACAGGCCAAGTTGGTCCTCTAGATGTTTGTCCAATGAAATTAGAAGAAATTTACCCACTTAGACATACGGTTCTCGAAAGGATAGCCGTTAAACAAGACTTCCATTTTTCTATACAAAATCTTTCAAAATAGCTTGATTTTTATCATCATGATCCAGTGCCAGATCAGCGACAGACATCGGCGATCATGGTTCTCCATTCATTCCTTTGCTCGGATGCTCTCCAAAAAGCTATAGATGTTTCCCTGATCTTTCCCTGTTACCCATTTGTTTAGGTTACCCAAGTATGTTGTTCTGGGCCTTCCCCTGCCTCGCTTGCCCTCAATTGATTTTATATAAAATGATATTACCTGATTAAAAATAAGCTTAGATTTGATAGTTTTGAATACCATTGTGCTGGTAAAAAGAATAATTTGAGAGCACAACATTCGGAAATTGACCTATCCCTTTCAAACCCCAGGTCATTCGTAACAACAAGAGCGTCTAAAAAAAGTTATTCGAATAGGCCTAACTACTCGTAATGTCTTATCAGCTTATGAGAGGGGGTTATTCATTTGTTTGTAACGCTTTATATAGAAAGCTATAAAAGATAGAGCATTATTTTCATCATTGATTAACACACCCCCTCGGTATTCATGTCGAAAACACACGTTTCCAATGCCGCTTATGAATGAATTGATCAAACTTTCCTTCCTTACAATTGCAAGGTGTGATGATACATTGTTACGACTACAAAAACATTATTTAAAAAGTATGTTTTTTTTTCTTGTTTTTTTTCAGTCCAGGGATGTTCCCAACGATGTTTGGCAGCATGATATGTATGATGGTGGTTCAGCTCCTCTTCGACGTGGTGGTGGAGGAGGACCTCCTCTCTCAGGGGGTCAGGGGAAGCTGCTCGTGTCAAATTTAGACTTTGGAGTGAATGATTCAGATATACAGGTAACAGCCAACATTAGCTGCAGTAGTTTATTTGTCTCTACATGTGATTTATGTGGGAGGGGGGTCCAGGTTTGTCTGTGGTTGTGTAAGGGGCTGATCTCCTGAAACATTTTGTAGAAAACCATAGGTAAAAAGAGAAAGAGATGGCTGGAAGTTGTAAACTAAAAATCAGGAATGATTTCAAGATTTAAATATTCCCACCACTTTTCCATCCTCCTGTGATGAGCACAAATTGTCAGTAATTGAAAAAAAAAAAAAAAAGAGATGCAGGCGAGTAGAAAAAGAGCCTATATGTGTAGCAAAAATCGAACGCTGAAAGCCTGTATATTGTTATTGATTTTCTGTATTTCGAACCGTCTACAGCCGCAGAAAAACCTGCACTGGTCTGCCGTTATGAAATCAAAATCGGGAGACTGGACAAGCCTAATGTCCCCAGTTCATGGACATTCTGGCGCTTGCAGTGCCAAATTCTTTTTAGTGTAATTATTCAAGTATGTTTTTAAGTGAACTGTGGCCATTGTTGCACTGGCTCTCAATAGATCTCTTCTCAGCATGTCTTGGCCAAGTTTGAAGACATGAATGTTATATATTACTATTGCTTGCTTTTGTGCCATAATTGTCCTCCATATCTTGGCTTTATATGATTCCAGTCAAACCTCATTGTACCCCCCCTCCCGTTATACTGCCAGCCCCGCTTACTGCCAGGTTTTGCTAATGCACTAAAAAGATGGCCTATATAAACTTGGTATTTACGTCTTCACACTGCTATCCGTCAACTGTCTGAGTTGTAAGGTCCTTATTTTATCCCAAAGAAAATAAACCCTGCCATAGCGTCAGTGAACTGACCGCCTGAGGTAAACGCTGCTCACGGCGCGCAACACCCTCTGGTTAGCTACTTGGTAATCTTTCTCCCACGAAAAAACCAAACATAGACATTTTTGAAATGCAGATTGCACAGCAGAATCATGTTCTTTGACGTTGGGCAGTTGGGGCTCTTCAACAGAGCATCCCCATTGAACCGCCAGCCCCACTGTTCCACCAACTTCATGCTCGTCCCAAGGATGGCGGTATAATAAAGTTTGTCTGTATTCTTTAATATTACATCTTATCAGTCAGTATTGCTTTATCCTAACTCCTTGTGGTGTCATTTTCTGAGATATACATTCCTTTGACATTCTATGTAATGACAGAACTTTGTTACACTTTGTACTCTTGTGCCTCATTGTTTTTTATTTTCCTTCTTCACAGGAACTTTTCTCAGAATTTGGACCATTGATGAAGGCAGCAGTTCATTTTGACAGATCAGGTCGTTCATTAGGCACAGCTGAAGTGATATACCAAAGACGCACAGATGCTGTGAAAGCTATGAAGCAATACAATAATGTACCTCTCGATGGTAAGGTCTTTGTTTGTAGTCATAAGCGATACTTTGTCTCTTGATGTCTAAAAAGGAAATGTATCCTTAGAAGGGTACACTGTCTTCGTTACTAATTTTCACTGTTATTATTTACCAATCTTGGCTAACATTTCCAGTTAGTGGTCTTTGATACTTGCTTTGTTTGAATAATTGTTCAATCATTTAGTCTTTAAGTTTGCTTTTTCAGTAGTTTGCATATTTGCAGACCTGCACTCATCCTGATTTTTTCCCCAAATCTCGAGCATCCCGATTTTCCAGATTTTGATCACATGTATCCCGATTTTTTTATTGTTCCGTCTGTTGCGCCGGATTTTTCTAAAAACTTACTCAGCCTTCTTCTATGTCGCGGGAACTATTTCAGTTGCAACATACAAATTATTATTTGTACTTCTACTGTTACTTTCCAAAGAAGCTTTGTTCGAGTACTGGTTAGTTGGGCCAGTCATCAAGACCCACCAGTAAAACTGTTTCAATCATGCGTTCGCATCACGTGACCTGACTTCAGCGTGTGAGTTCTGAGTGTGTCGGGGACCGCCCGTTGACTGTGTCAACTTAAGTTTATGCACACTGCTAGAAGCATCTTTCGGGACCCTGGTGATTTGTCCTTAATCCTGATTTTTTTCATCAAATCCTGATTTTTCCCCCTGAGATCCTGATTTTTAGCTTTCATAGAGTGGCAGGTCTGATATTTGTTACTGATGTGCAGGATCTTGAAAGCAGTGTGGATGGATGAAATGTAGATGAAGGGTGCTTTTGTATTCTATCTTTATCTGGATTTGCGGACCAGTCTACCTTTTGTGTCCATTCTCAAGGACTTTACCAGTTTCTGTTGTTAGATATCATCTTTATCAATTCTGTTACACATATCAATTGTAAACTAAAAGTTGCGATTAGTATGTTTTAGTCCAGTAGGATTGCATACCTTTCCGAATTTTCCGGGAATTTCCGAATTGCCATTGTCGTTCTCGAACCTTCCCCGAAACGGCACCTCTCTCTCTGTCGGTGTTTCTCCACTGGTTTGTTTCAGCTGTTTTTGTAGTGTAGGTGGTTTTTTTTAGTAGCTTTAGCAGCCTATCAAAATTCCAGAATTCAGTCTCTCAAAAGTTGGAAAGCCTGGTCCAGGCGAAGGGCTACAACTCAAATGGCAGCTGGGTCAAATAAATGATTTGAAATGTTGTAGTTTTGAAGGTGATCTGCTTGGAAGATTTGTGCACTCCCCTATTGGAGAGTTCACCACTTAAGTGCATGTTTCCTGTAGCAGGACTATTAATGTGGACACAATGGGTATTTCGCATAGTCTGTCTTCTATTTTGGTTTGTTGATAGGAGAACATTTGTGTGCCATTATGTGACATCTTAGGAATTTTTAATGAAAAGCACTTCTTGTTTTTTATTTTGTTTCTGCTTTGTTCAGCTTGACACCTATTGATCTTGTGCAATAAATTTCTTGCCTACTTGCGATAAGGTGTAATTTGAACTCTTCCAGATTCCCTTGTGAGGCTGGCAGCTGCTCTAGTGTGGTTTGTGTCTTCTTTCTTATTAAATGTCTGTCGTCATTATCTCTCCTTCTGTTCTTTGTATGTTACCCTCTTGTAAAACCTCTAATCTTCAGCTTTCATATGACTTATTTGTGGTGCAAGTGCCGTAGAGCTCTTATTAAAGCAAAAATAAAACCTTGTTTCCCAGCAGTATATCACCTGGCCGCTGTGTCTCGCCAGGCCATAACTGTATATGTGGGCAGCAGTCATCTCTATTAAAAAAGGTGTGATGGTCTATTAATAGACATTTTTAGTAGCAGTTATTTTGTCAACAGCAAAAGACAATATATAGCCTATTTCTTTTGTTCTTTCTCAGGTCGGGCTATGAACATTCAGTTAGTAGGAGCAGTTTCTCGGATTGGTCCAACCCGCGGTGGCGGCGGCGGCGGCGGTGGCGGCGGCGGTGGCGGCGGCAACAGTGGTGGTTTTGGAAACAGACAAGGCGGTGGTGGAGGGTATGTGTACTTGTCTGGATGCTATGCACAGTGCAGTCCACGTAAACTAAAATCTATGGGACTACAGGATTTTCTTCAGCTAAGCCTGTTTAGACAGGATGCTCAAATAGAAGTAAAAAAATAGAAAAGGATTTCATTTTTTGTTTGGCTTACGGCTGTTTTCAGATAAACAATGTTTGGTTTAAATGGACTGCACTGTGTAATTGGTACCAAAAAATAATTTTGGTAGTTTGATTTTTGTGACAGAGGTTGGAAACTTTTTCATTTATTTTCATTTTTTTTGGACAGCCTTTAGTCCTTTAAAGGAAAAGACTGATTTATATTTTGAAGCAAAGAAAAGAACAAAAGAACAAAGGGAGTTGGGAAAAAACATGTTGTTGAAAAGTGAATATCAAGTGCACTGTTTTAATTCTTTTAAAAATACTCGCAGTAGTTGTCTGACTGACTACAGTGGACCTCAGCAAACTTGGAATCAACGAGAGGAGATGGATTCCTCTTTTTATTTTAGTAATTGAAATCAATAAAAATAATTCGGATTCAATGAATACATAAATGATCATGCTTGGATTCAACGAAGTCACTTGCAGGGTGAACTTTCCCCACTCATGTGGCTTCGCTCACTTTCCTCCCCCCAACGTACCCTTATCTATTCCGGGAAGCCATCCGTGGCACCTGCATCATGAACCATTATTCGCTTAGCTTATTGTTTATATCTTATAAATGTGACCAATCAGTGGCCTTCTTTTATACCAATACATGCGTTGTTGGCACGCGCACGTGTCTTGGCTTGTGTTGGTGTCGGATGGGTGGCCAGCACATGTGTGACTCATGGGTGAAAGTGACAAGAGATGGTTTAGCCTGAAAATTCTGTTGTTAGAGAACGGATAGCCTGAAAAGTTCATGGTAAATTCATGTGACCTGAAGGATGGGATAGGCTTCTCAATTTTCCAGGGCCATGTTACATAACAATGACAACACATGCTCTATTTAAATATAATACACACAAACAAGTACGTAGCCAACATTATAAATAGTACAGGGCTCTCAGACTTCCGCGGATCCGCGAATTTCCGAGATTCGCGGTTCGGAGAAAGTCCGGGGCTGAGATCAGCGGCCGCGGAATCGCTGAGCATCACGTGGTCATGTTTCCGTCGCGCTTCGCATCTGCACGGGTTTCATAATTATCTTCTCCGAGAAAAAATGCGAAAATTTGGAGAACATAATAGAGCGATGTATGCCAGTTTGGCACTAACCGCCCACCTTTACTTCCTGTTCATAACTACTACTGACTTTGCCTTTCCGGTTTTTTATCGAAATCGGTTGACTTTCACAATTTATGCGAATACATGTATCTGGCAACATTTTCTTTTCCCAAACATCCGGTCTGTGTTGGAAGGAAAGAGAGAACAACAAAGAAGCCTGGAAGATGGCGTATCACGTTCTCTCAAAGAGTGAAGAGGCCATTGTGAAAGAAATAGACAAAGATTGCAAGAATAATTTGAAGTATCAGTTGTTAGAAGATGTGGTGAATGTGACAATCAATGGAGTAGATTTCCAAGCAAAGGTAGGCGATAGCATTGCCAAGATAAACGTCAGTAGAAAAGCTTTATGCAAGTTGTGCAATTCGTTACTTATGTATACAAAGGAAAGGGTGCGAGTACATTGAAAGAACATCTGAGAACAGAGGCACACATCGCGCAGATCAAGACTCGGCAGTCGAGTTACAGCCTTGGGAGCTTTGTCAACCCATGGTGGAGTTAAAGTGCATTATTGTGTTTTTGTTATGTGCCATTGTCTGTATACCTTGTTTTGTTTGTTTACATGGATCCTTTCAGTGCTCGTTTTCTTGCTCTTCCTTTTGCAATGTTTGTAGGCCTGCTTGTGCATTTTGTTGCGTCTATCGCGATCCTCCGACAAAGTTCAGGGGTTGGGAAAATTTTTCACTGGGAGCCCTGATAGTATGTATCCAGTCAACAAAATTCAGTGCGGAACAGGAGTCTTGTGTGACGTACGTATTTCAATCTGTTCTTACTTGTTAGATATTTCCATATTTCCCCTCATCATTTTATATAATAAACTATATAATACAAATGAATCCTGCTTTGAGCCTGTGAAAGGGCCTAGAACCAGAATATCGATTGTCAAGAACCAGTCTTGGTATTATGATTCATATCATAAACATGAAAGACAAAAATTATTGCTCAAACCCAAAGTAGAGTAAAATCTTGAATGGCTCAAGTAGACCTATACAGTGTGAGAATTGTAAGAACTGAGAGAGGTCAAGATGCAGTGATACTGAAAATTTGCCAGTCTTGAACAGAAAGCTAAAAAAACCCATTCTGCTTTCATTAAGAATTCGTGTACGTTTTTGTATCGCTGACAATTTTGGATCTAGTTCTTCCTTGTTCACTATACCAAAAAAAAAATGTTATTATCGACATTAGGGAAGTGGATGAGATTGAATGCAGAAAAAGCAGGTGTATTATAGAAGGATTCAATTAAGTCTTGATTTGGAAAGTGATTTGGATTGTAGACCCATAATTGTTAGTGACACAATGCGCTGCAACAAAAAAAAATACGCTTCAAGCTTTGAATTCTCAAAAAAAACACCCCAAAAACATGTCTATTTTTAACTTGACGACAATATTGTAAACACGGATTTGGAGGACTGAAAGTATAATGTATTTAATAAGGGGAGGTGAAAACGACACGCTCTGTGTCGTTCTGGGGTACGGGGTTACAGTTAAGCGGAAAGGACATGGAGCATGTCATTGTTAACAAGGCAACAAACAGAAATGGGTCACTCCCCTTTTTTATTCTTTTTATAGCATTCTACTTGATATTAGACACATAAGATAGTGCGTCAGTGCTGGTGATCAGTCTGAAATTCTATGTTCTCGCTGTGGCCAAAGATAGTGCGTCAGTGCTGGTGATCAGTCTTAAATTCTATGTTCTCGCTGTGGCCAAAGATAGTGCGTCAGTGCTGGTAATCAGTCTGAAATTCTATGTTCTCGCTGTGGCCAAAGATAGTGCGTCAGTGCTGGTAATCAGTCTGAAATTCTATGTTCTCGCTGTGGCCAAAGATAGTGCGTCAGTGCTGGTAATCAGTCTGAAATTCTATGTTCTCGCTGTGGCCAAAGATAGTGCGTCAGTGCTGGTGATCAGTCTGAAATTCTATGTTCTCGCTGTGGCCAAAGATAGTGCGTCAGTGCTGGTGATCAGTCTTAAATTCTATGTTCTCGCTATGGCCAAAGATAGTGCGTCAGTGCTGGTGATTAGTCTGAAATTCTATGTTCTCGCTGTGGCCAAAGATAGTGCGTCAGTGCTGGTGATCAGTCTGAAATTCTATGTTCTCGCTGTGGCCAAAGATAGTGCGTCAGTGCTGGTAGGCCACAATTTCAGGCAGGCACCCATTGACTTTATTATGCCTGACATAAAAAGTAGACCAATTGTGTACAGTATGTGTACTTGTCAGTAGTGATGATAGACAAATGCCTGCTGTTGTGACATGCGAGAAGAGTTGTTGAAAACAAAAAATTTAGAGGCTCACATGTGTGAGAAAAGAATATGTGTGTGCACCCTCTTTTCAGTGGAAATGAATGAAGGATATCGAGACTCACATTCAAGTTACAGTGATGATTGATTCTATTGCAAGCGCTGGACTCTGTAGAAAATTCTCCTAACAAATCTTTCCTTATCCTTTCTGACTCTTGTCTTGCATCACCTCACTCACAAACTACACGCTCATACACCCAAAAATAGTTGGGCTACAACAAAAAATACAGGCCTTGACTGAAACCGGGAAAAGTGTCGTGTTCTCATGGCTACCTAGCCATGTGGGCATCCGACGAAGCGAGCAGGTAGATCACCTGGCGAAGGAATCCTTATCCCTTCTGTTGGGATCAACGACGAACACTCTCCCACAGACTGACCCATTGGAAAAAACAAACAATAAACTTCACAACATTAAGCCCAGACTGGGACCGCGAAATCCTTCTGGCCTCTCCAGAAGAGACGAAGTCATTTTTACTTGATTACTCATCGAACACACGGCCCTAGCACATAAATACCTCCTTCAAGGAGATGAGAAGCCGTTCTGGATTATACCATTAGACACATTTTAACCGAATGTCTAGACTTCGGAGATACCCGAAGGAAATATTTTAGATGCAAAAAATTGCAAGATGTTTTCCGTCGTTGATCCCAACAGAATTCTGGATTTTATGAAAGCCATTGGCCTTTATGGGAAATTGTAAAATGAAATAAAATTGTTAAAAAATTTTATGTTATTTAAGGGGAAGAGCGACCCTTGATTTAGCAGATTTTGGGTCAGGCTATGCAAATTTTCTGTTGGCTGATTTTTGAAGATCAACCAGTTTTTTGTTTAAAAATAGCATGGATACAATTGGGAAAGTCTTTATTCTCCTCGTAAATTGCCTTTGAAAATGTGACGATGGGTTAATATAGTGAATTTTTACATTGATTGTCAGTTTTCGCGAAATGTAATTTTTTTGCCGTTTTTTCCATACTCCTTCCTTAGGAAAAGATGGCATGTCTGTCATCAATGTAACAGAGAGATATTTGCGAAAACATTAACACTTTTCCGTTGGCAAGCGATTATGCAACCAACATTTCAAAAAAGTTTTTTATACTTTGGGCAAATTCTCATATTTTTTTTCTTTTGCACTTATTGAAATAAACTTGCTGTTACTCTGATAGGGTCTGGTTCAGGTATACTCTCACCAAATTTGGTCAGTAAATAAGAAAGCCGTAGGGATTTGAAATTCATTGTTTATTTTCAAGATGGCGGCCGTAAAATAAAATGGCGTATCAAGAGATTTTACTATGCCTAACTTATTTGTGTTCTTAGATTTGATCTTGGGCAACAAATATAGAAAATGGTCCTCAAGGGTAGCTCCTCCCGTTAAAAAAGTTATTTTAAATTTAAAACGTATTTACCTTAGATTTTAACATTTTAAAATCTGATTATTGACCCGAGCCCAGTCGTGCAGTGCACTGTCGTGAATGCAACCAACTTGTGTTTCGCGCGCTCATATGACCTTATGCAGTTGCGAGCGCTGTAAAAACTCATATAAAAACAAACAAGCAAGCGCTTATTCCCATTTTCTGGTCTCTTTTTCTTTTCAGCTTCAGAGGAGGTCGAGGAGGTAGAGGAGGGGGCAGAGGCCGGGGCAGAGGTCGCGGTGGCCGTGAGAAGCAGGAGGTACCCACCCTTGAAGACTTGGATGCTCAGCTTGAAGCTTATAACGCAAAGGTAAGAAAAAGATGAAAAAAATATGACCTGACCTCCTCTTTCTACTATGGTCTCCAGTATATGACCAGTTGAGACATAATGTCTAACATAGGGAAAATAAAAAGTTTGACCTCTTTTTATATTCTCTTTGTTTTTAGAGGGTTTTGTAATGAAGAATGGGGAAAACCTTCTGTTGGTGTGTAAATAACAAAGATATGAGAACTTTTTGAAGTGGAAATAGTAAAAATTCATTTTTGAGAAAACAGACAAAAAAGTTACAATATTTTTACAGTTAACTATAGAGTTGGGGCGAGCGGACGGACGGGTTCGTTACTCACGGACTCAGTCTGAGCGAGCGGGTAACGGACAGTCATGCGAGCGGACTGCGAGCCTCAAGACAGTTCGTTTTTTGGGTCCGCCCCACAATTTTACTTCTCAGCGAGTGGACTGCGGACCTCAAGCCTCAAGTCAGTTTCTTGGGTCCGCTCCACAATTTTACTTTTCAGCGAGTGGACTGCGGACCTCAAGCCTCAAGTCAGTTTCTTGGGTCCGCTCCACAATTTTATTCACTGAACGGGCGGGCGAACGAACGAACTCTAGCAGATGAGATACTCGACGGGAGATTTAGCCCCATCGTCTATTGTTTGTTAATTAGGCCTAGTGTTTCAAGCAACTAGTGGTGCTACAGAGAGTGAGAGATGCTGGTGATGTAGTACTATGTGTGAAACCTTTCACCGTGTGTGTGGGCACAATATGTACGATCCAATTATCGCGAAGCGTAAGTTTAAGGAATTCTCAAAGGCCTTGGGGGGGGAGGGGGGTTAGAGAAACTTCCGCCATGAACACGTAGCTACCATATGGGGCAGGAGGGTGATTTTTTTACTCGGGGGGGGGGGCTGGGTAAGTAGTATGCAATGGAAGGAGTTGCTCTCCGTCCGTCCGCCCCTCGAATGCATGTAGTTTCTCCCTCCGCTCCCTAAATGAACTCTTGTCTGTGTCCCATGTGTAGCGAGTAGCGAACTATTCTTCACAAGCGGACGGCTTGTTACCCGTCCGCTCGTTTGCAGGTAGTGCCAGTGAGTAGTTCGTTACTCGTGGACGCTGATTTAGCGAGCCCAACCCAACTCAAGTAAACTATCATCTTTCAAGATTAGGGTCTGAGAGACATAAAAGCTTTGATTTTGTCATGAAGAAAAATATCCAGGGAAGAGATTTCAAGTTGACGTGGGTCCAGATGAAGATTGACCTTTGTCAGCTAGTTGGGTGTTCCCGTGCATAGGAAGGGTTTGTACTATGTTAGGCACTATAAACATATATTGCCAATGTGCTTTGATAATGGCCTAAGTCATTATCATTGTTCTGATTTAACAAACAGACAATGAAACACTCTTTTATTTTGGGGAGAGTATGAGGATTAAGACTAATGTGTTTTTGTTAATGTGGCGTATGTCATGCTAATTCAGCTCAAATTACAAGTCCACAATTATTCTTTGCTGATGGTTAAAGGGCACCACTGGTAGGTCCTACTTTTCTTTTCTTTTCTTCTGTCTGTCTTGCTTCTTCCCCCCAACTACATGACCATTTTTGTGTTAATATCCTCCTTTTTACTAAAAAATCGAATTATTTTGATTGGCTTATTAAATTGAAATTTCTTTTCCCTTTCAGATGGACCAGAATTAGGTGCAGCCGACAGTCGACATTGTATTATATGAGTGTGGCAGGACATGAGTGTGTGTGAAATTGCGAGACCTCTCTTATTTTTTATCAGTTTTGCTTTTCGGGTTTTTAAAATGTGTGAGAATGGGACAGTAGGCAGTACTGTTCATGTGTGTAGCCTAAGTGTATGATTTTACTGTTGTAGTTCCTCAGTTGTAGTTATCAAGTGTAAGTTTGACATGGTTCACCCTTGAATTCATCAAATCATTATGATCCCCCCCACCATTCAAATGAAATATGACCTTTCTCATTGTACTTTTCATCACTTTTGGTTTACCTCCCTGTGGAGTAGGGTTTTGCAACTGATTTTTACGATTTGAAGTGAATGGAATTGGTCTCATGTTTTGAAATTTCATTTCCTTGTTTTCCCGCGAGCTTGGAATTGTTTCTAAAATGTGAGACAGCCGTTTGAACAATTTTTTTTTTCTGTTGTTGATGTCCCTGTTGCAATTAATTTTGAATCGGGTTTCCATCTCATGTTTTTACCATTAAAAAGAATGAGGAATTTTACTCTTGTTTCTCTTTAATATTTTAGTCAAGGTAAAAGAAAAAAGTATAACGTCGACAAGCTGTTCAAATGTACCTAGCCCAGAAAGCAAAAGTTTTTTAGGAGAGAAAAAAAGCCCTTTCATTCTTTAATTATTGTATCTCTCTATATTGTCGCTTTTAAGGACAAGCGGGCTAACCCAGATTTCGGTATTTTCGGGAAATTTTGACCTAGACCAAAAGTGGGCATTGGCCTACCTATAGGAGAAGTTTGGTTTCATTGGTGTGTATATTTGTTTGGTTATAGAGAAAACTCTAGTATTTCAAAGAAACTGAATTAGGGGCAAAAACTTTTCCTTCGATTTTCTCAAAACAGCGTTTTTCTGGATAGCCCCCTTGTGCTTAAAAGCGACCATGTATATTATAAATGTATTTTTTCATGCTTTTTCAACCTCTGAATAATTTTAAAATTTGAATTTCAACAATTCCTCTGCAATTACCGGGAAAAAAAAATTGGGCTTAGTAGATCTGAACAGCTGGCCGGTGATTATGATAAATGTTTGGCTGTTGAAAGCTCTCTTTCCTGGTGTCAGTTTCTTTTTTTTTTTTTCATATATATGAGCGTGTGGGATACATTAAACATTTTCAATAGGTACGAAATATTGAATTTTGCCAGGGTGCAGCCTAAACCTACTCTTATCGATTTTGAACTACCTCGGGATCTCGGAGATTTTTCACCCTTATCCGAGAAGGCTTGGTATTTACCTACCATAAGGTCAGGGGTGTGGCTGAAAGAAGGAGCCAAGGAGAAGCAGAAGAAAGGCTGCAGAAAAAGTCAGGAGCCCAGAGGAGGGGGCAAAGGAGATGAGAGGGTGGGAGCAGAAAGTGGAGACGAAAGTAGACGACAGAACATTGTTAGAGAGCAGGAAAGGAGGTGACAGGAGAACATTTTTCTTCACTGTCCGGATTCGAACCCGCGACCTATTGAATGAGAAGAGGCGAACACCGTAACCTCTCGACCATGAGATCCTCCTGCACTTCGTCCTTGTATCTATATTAAATATATGACCTTGATTCCCACTTGGGGAAGTCTAGTTTATGGAGTATCTTCATCTTCCTGCTCGGATATTGGATCCCTCTCGGCCCACTTGGTCCTGAACTCGGCTTGCCTCCTGTATTAACTAATTTGTAAAAAATTGGGGTGCAAAACACTTAGAATCATTTACAAACGGGCACAACTTCTAGCCTCCAACAAGATGGTTTTGCTTCCAAATTGCTCGAAATTCGGTCAAGAAGTGTGTAAAACGTATAGATCTAGAATCATTTACAATGGATGCAACTTGTAACAGTATTTGAAAAAATCTCCAACGCTAGTGTTGTCTTGTTTACTCAATACTCGATACAGAGTCAGAGGAGTGCTACTGAAGTGACTTATGTTTTTTAGTTTTAGTAAGAGTTTTACGGCACTCGCAAACAATAATGTCATATGTGTCGAAGAGGTCTTACAGGACAGTAACAAAGACAAAAGGGGAGGACGCGAGATCAGGACAATAGATGTCGAGGGCAGTATCACATACAAAGGCCGCCAAAAATGACTTTCGTCTGTATGCAATACTGCCTGCGAGATGTTTGATAGGATTAAGAAAGATGGCGCAAACGACACCAGAGCACCCGCCAAATTCCCATGACTATTACTATGTTTGTGACCTTACATTCTCAGGTCTGCTGGGGTAATAGTATAGATTGTAGAGCTTGCTGTTGAGCGGGATTTGCGTTTTACAAATGCTGTCTATTATCTATTATTATTATATTGTGTTGCAAGTGTGGTAAAAACTCGAAACTAGTCCACTCGTACATCAACGTTGTTCAGTTCAATATTTTGTTCATATATTAATTATATAATCTGGTCTTTATCCAGTCTCACAGTACATTTTAGAAGACTGAGGGAACCTCTGGGTTTTTTTTTCGTAAAAAAAAAAGTGTTTTACAGTGCTCGCAATTGAATAAGGTCATATGAGTGCGCAGGATGCAATTTAACATTTTCCAGTTGGTAGGAAATTTTGAAATTTTGCCTGAGAGGTGGCTGAAGCATACTCTTATCGATTTTCTGACCACCAAAGGATCTTAAATATGCGCAACTTGCACATGGGACCTCCAAGCTTTTTCACCCTTATCTGAGAAGGCTGGGTATTAGATCTTATCTGCCATAAGATCAGAGGTGTGGATGAAAGACAGCAGTGAGAAGGAGCAGAGGAGGAGCAGAAAGGCTGCAGAAAAAGTCAGAAGCCCAGAGGAGGGGCAAAGGGGAGGGGGCAGAAAGTGAAGATGAAAGTAGACAACAGAACATGGTTAAAGAGCAGGAAAGGAGATGAAAGGATATGAGGGGCAAACACCATAACCTCTAGACCATGAGCCATGAGAGCTCCCAGTTTTAGTAGAGGTAAAATCGTGTACAGATGATTAATTGCATCAGAGTGGATGATCAGATCGACTCTGTAGCAGCCCACTTGCCCACAAAATGTCTGCAGTGTGCTGTCCAAAAGTATCCTAAAACAGCACAACAGTAACTTAAATTCAAGGTATTGATTCACACACTAAACAAGATGTTATTACATTTGCACTTTTTAATTCAATGATACTTGGAAATATAGTGGTACATAGTGTATCATGTTTTTCGATTCATCAAAATGAAAGAAATGTACGGCTGATAAACAAGACTCAGTTACTCCATCCCTTCCATAACCTCTATCAGTACGAGTGCACTTACAGGAAATAGATAAAGCTGAAGCAACAAACTTGGAAGTACAAGCTGCTAGTAGAAAGGAAAGTCATTACCCAGTTTTTAATGTACATATACATTTTGCAGCACAAGGTTAACCAAGAATATAGAATAGTTCATAGGCGTTAGCGACAGAAACTGCTAATGCTGGCAGAGATTTCTCAAGCCACATCATGATAACATGAAGCTTTACCCGGTACCAACAAACTTTTCCTCTGAAATCTTATTTCTCATACAGCTGACAACAGTGTTTATTTTCCTACTACTGATCATATAATAACAAAGACCCTGTGCTTTTGTAGATTGTTATCTACACTGCTTAAGCACTGAATGGCTATCTCAAACCTACATTAGTCCCTTGCACCTCTTTTATTTTCCCCCCTCTTCCCTCTACTCTTCTCGTTCTCAAGCTCTATTCACTGTTGCAGCCAATGGGTTTTCACAAACAATAAACCCATAGTTTCAGTTCTGAAGGACTTGATGATTCTAAATGAAGTCCTGTACCAGGGTAAAT